AACACACAAACAAACAAACAAACAAGTTGTTTAAATACATTGGATTGTCCATTTTTTGATCATTTAAAAAAAAAATTTAATGATGAGATCAACGCCAAAATTCTGATTATGGAAAGACTGCTATTATTCAGATCTTTATTATAGTAGGCATTTCGGAAGCAAAAATGATATTATTTTAGTCGAATTTCTTTCAGTTTATCAGTGGATTAATCAGACATTGCAAATTGATTCTGCCTCAAAAAAAAAAAAAAAAAAAAATCATCCTTTTTTTTTTTAATGGCGTTTAATCCTATTATTTGGCATTCATGTCTGGTTAGGACGAAACAAAATGTTTCTAGCTACACTTATTATTTCCTAAAATTCCTCACTTGAATTTCCCCCCAAACTTTCCAGAAACTGTCCACCCTTTTGCAACTTTTAACAGCGGGCAAGATGGCTGACCTTCTGGCGGACATCGGCCGCCGGTTGGGATTGAGAAATAATCCGTTGCTGTCAAAACCGCCGTCACTCAAGCTCAGCCGGCAATAACACGAGTCGTCATCCCGCTTAGCCTTTGCGTTCCCATTTCGTGGAGCGATGGAGATTCATGGAAATTGCTGGTTTATTTTTGAAGCGGGGATGGAGGAAAAAAAAAAAAGAAGTTACGATTTGGGTTGCATGAGTTGGAGTTGAACGTGTCATAACCTTCTGTGACTACTCATCTTTTAATGAAGACATCCATCAAAGGGCATCCCGATAGCCCGTCACTCAATCAAGCTAATGGACGGACTTCTTTAGTGCGGCTTTAATCTAAAACGGCATTTAAAGAGACGGCGGCGTTCAATTCAAACCGCCGTTTGCCAAGGTTACCGACGAGTCACCGCATGATTAGTGAGCAAATGTTTTCATCACGCTGAAAATTTTAATTATCGGCCGGACCGTATTTAGCAGATCGGAGACGAGTTGTCAAAGAGGAAGAGAGAAGGCGAGAAGCGCACAAGAAAATAAAGCAGACGATGAAGACGATATGGTCCTTTGAAACATGACGGGTGGATTTTATTGTCATTTTTGTTTTGTTCAGTTTTGTGTGTAAGATGAAAACACTGAATTATTTTTTCCTGACTTATCAATTGTATCCATCATTTTCTTGTATTTGTCTTATTTTTTTTCTATTATTCCTAGATTTTTGGTCTTATTGTATCACTTTTGGTTGGTGCAATTTCACATTTTGTCATCATATCATTGCTGTAATTGTATTTTTAAAAAATATTTTAGGATTCTGTAATGTCTTGTGCTGTATATATGTTTTTTTGTTCATCAATTGTTTTTCCATTGTGTATTTTCCATCATGTTTTTGCTGTAATAGTTGCAGTATTTGTTTTCTAAATGTTAACCAATATTTTTCCCGAATAGTTTTGAATTTGTGGCATCAATTTTGCACTACTGTCGACTTATTTTTTTTGTATTTCTTTGAGGATCTGCATATTTTAGATTGAATATTTGACTATTTTTGTCTGTTATTATTAGCGTTATTCTCCATTACATCCCTCGTATTTGTCTTTAAGTTTCTTAAATTTATTTTAAACTTTGACTTTGCATTTTTGCTGTAGTTGTTACTTTATTATATTATTACATATAATTCTAAACGCTAGCATAAATGCTAACGTGTCCGTCTTTCTTCTCACCATTTTATGATTTATTTTTGGAATGCTACAATTACTAATGGAAGTAATTTATCTTATTTTGACACTTGATATTATAAGTATAGACAGTATATATTACAATGATTCGTTCGACTTTCAATCTTATGGGGCGAACACCTAGCATCCTTGACGGAAGTAACTAACAAAACAGAAAGACCTTAGAGAGTGAGGTCTAAATATATCCAACACACTCATTTGCTTTTTACTGCATTTAATGAATTCTTTCCTTTTCTTTTATGTGGCATCAAAGGCAAACAAACGCACTAAACGTCACCTTTTGTGTTTTGGCGCCAAACTGGGACGTCGGCCGAGCGAGCTTTCAAGTAAAAAAAAAAAAAAAAAAATGTAGATTTTCTCGTCTTTTGAACAAATATAATTAGGCTGGCGCGTCTAATTTGTGTTTAGTAAAACACGTACGGTCCTTGATGAACGTCTCCCGCAGGACGCCGTCCGCGCTTTGTACGTGAACGAGAATCCTTGAATTAAAGGAGAACTCCAGGGCCTTCCACTTTCCAGAGATGTTGTTCACATTACAACAAGTCTGTCTCTGTGGCATTGGACTACACTGTACTTGACAATTCTCAGCACACAGACGCAAGGTACTATTAAAAGCTCTGTTGGCACTGGTCTACATGCTGCAAAGCAAGTTGGTTTTTAATAAAATAAAAAAATGCAAAATTGATAAGGGACTGCATGTTTTTACCTTTCTAATTTATACTATGCATAGATACATTCTCTCTCTCTCTCATATATATATATATATATATATATGGATGGATGGATGGATGGACCCATGTTAGTTTGCAACAGGACTGTAAATGATAACAATATAAAGTACCGTATAGCAAATAAAGTACCGTATTTTCGGCACTATAAGGCGCTTCGATGAATGGCCTATTTTAAAACTGGTTTCATATCCAGGGCGCACATCATTATAAAGCACATGGAATAGAAGCTACAATAGTGGCTGCGGTTGCACTTTGCATCCACTAGATGGAGCTACGCTAAAGGGAATACAATACAATACAGATTTCTTTATAGAGAGCTTTCACAACCACTGCAGCTGTAACAAATCGCTTTACAGAACATTTCAAATACATCCACGAAATCAGAATATTGATCCATATTATAAGGCGCGTGGGATTATAAGGCGCACAGTCGGCTTTTGAGAAAATGTAATGCTTTTAGGTGAGCCTTATAGTGTGGAAAATATGGTATCATACGAACTTGAATAAGCAGCGTTTAGCGTGTCAAGCAAGATGCCGTTTTTTTAGATTTGCTGAAAAGAAAATGTATTGACTCATTTTTTTCACCATTTTTTAAAAATGTAATTTAATTTGAATTGCAGTCTAACAGCAACTTTGCGCATTTCTAACTCCACCATTTCACCACACAACTTTGTGCGAAGAGAAACAAATTTGGGAGGTCAACATCAACTAACGGAGTTCAAAAGCTCAACAGAGCTTCTCCATTTGTACGCGTCGTAACGCCAAAGAGAAACACATCTCCACCTGACAATAAATCAAGTGCAAATCTTTTAATTTCTGCACGAACGCTACAACCAATCCCAGCGAGGGAGGCAGGGATGAAGAAAACGCCGCCGCTGGTAAAAACAAAAAAAAAATTCTTGCGAGACAAATTGATTCAGATGGCGAAGAGCCCCCAACGGACGCCATCTTTGAAAAATTTATAAAGGTTAAAACAACAGTTGATTCTGTGCATCGCAATCAAAGGCTGCAAGCGCCTCCCCTGTCGCATTACCATGCAAGTAAATATTGTATATGCATGCACACACATACACAAAAAAATGTGTGTGAACACCAGGTTGGAAGACAAATTCCTCATAACACACACACACACACACACACACACACACACACACACACACACACACACACACACACACACACACACACACACACAACCACAC